TACCGTGAGATATTCCATCGTTTAGACAAGGCCTCCCGCGCAAAGAAATAATAACCCAAGTATAGCTATGTAGCTAGTGTTGAGAATCCGCCCCCGTCTTGTGAGGAGCCCTGGGCGCAGGCGCACCTGCGCGACGACGCCCTGGGCGATGCCCTGCAGCAGCGCCGCCCGCACGGACTCGTCCGTCGCCGGCGGCCGCCCGCGCGCCACCTCCGCCGCCACCTGCGCACCACGCCCCCCCCTCCATCAGCACTCGCACTAATTGGCTGACTGTCCTCCTCACTGGCGGTCATGGCAGCGAGAGAGGATAGGCAAGTTCCCCTCGATGACAGTTTTCAAGTAAGCAAAGAAAATATTATACAGGGCAAAAAGAGTACATTTCATAATTAGATATAAAACCACAAAAAATGCGTAAAGGGAAAATTAATTCGTTTCATACTAATTTATGATCATACCAATTTGTAATTTGTGTTTCTTGCAAATTCGAATATAAGGCGTATTTAGGAAACACAATGAACATTTTCTTAATTTCATGATTACATAATAGAAACGCATATGCTAAATAAAATTGAGGTGGGTAATGGGAGCTCACGTAGTGTCATTCAAACGAGGCAGGCACCATGGATTTCAAATGTCCGCGCGATTGCTGCCTAGACATGGACAACGCCACCTAGGCTAGTGAGTTCTGAACTCACACAGGCTATTGAGTTCAGAGAATAAACACTGACCGGCCGTTGGGGTAGCGAGTGCGTGCAAAAACACGAGCTCCTTTTGACTAGTGCAGGAGATCGTGACGGAAGGCAATGGAACAGGAAGAAACGAGGAACGGGCGCTGTCGATAACCCCACGGTCGTACCCAACCCGAGCCTGGACCGTAGAGAGAGCTTTTCGAGATCCGGACTCATGGACACCACTGAAGGTTGGTGAGGTTATGTTGCGCAACCCCCCTCGAGGATCTGAAGTGAGTGACTAACTTAATTTTTATAGAAATAACATTAAAAATTATACAAGTGACTAATAATAACGTTCATTGAAACTTGTTAGATGAAGAGAGAGTACTTCAGATTTAGTATAGTCCTCCTCTTTAGCAAAGTAACATAACAATTTTTATTTAAAGTCCTTTTTTTTTTCAACGGATCCTGGCGATTATCACACGGCCGTACCGAAACCGTGTCTGGATCTTTGATCAGAAAGATCTTTGTTTGTTGCCGTTGCTCAAAAAGAAGTCTTGTTGTTTTAACTTCTCTAATAGTTTTTTGGCTGAAGTCTAGTATACAATACAATTTACGGAAGGCCGCTTACTTAAACTGGCACTTCGTGCCGCTCCGGCGGCCACAGCGCAGTTTGAATTCTGCAGGCTTTCTTGAAAAGTGCTTTCTTATAAAAGTGAATTGGTAAATATGCGCTGTATAGACTCAAGGATGTTTATAGTGAACGCGAGGGTCGAAGGCCCGAGCCGATAACTTGAAACCGGGGAGCGAAGCGATAAAACCTGTCTTTGAAAATAAATTGACATTACAATGCGGTGGGGACAAAGCGTATGAAGGGGAGACATTAAAATCACCTGTCCGTAAGTTTTATTCATTTCTATCAGAGCGCGTAGAGTAATTTGAGGGAGGGCTATAGGAAACCCCTCCCCCAGCCCCGCCGCAACGCGTCTCTGATGGTGTTGTATACTCTCTGGGAACTACCGAGTACCCTACTTTAACCCTTTAACTGTTTTTTTAATGTATAAGTATAAAATATACGTTATAGAGGAAATATTATTTGGATGATTCGTTCCTCCATATGTAATTTGTAATACGTGCCATTTTTTAAAATTATATTAAGTATGAAGGGATTGGACGTGAAGTGTTGGAGAAGGCGTGGAGTAGGCAGCAAGATCCGTGGCACGTTGTTTTAGATAATTCGCTGCTTACGCTAGCCGTTCCTGAGGTGTAAAATTGAATGTGTGAAAGGCGGTGTGCGAGGTGCACCTCGGGGGCGGTGGAGGAGGCCCGGCGGTAGCTCAGCCGCTCCAGCGCCGACACCACCTCCGCCACGCTCACCTCCATCGCTCCGCGCCCCGCACCCCACCTCGGCTCGGCTCGCCACGCCACCCGCGCTGGCGAAACAAGTCACATCAAAGGAAATACAGGCAACAGTAGCCTATTTCCAAAGTGACGTTTCTCGAATGCTACTTTTCAGGGAGGGATTCAAATTCAGCCTTGTAGTTGAAGCCAGGATTCAACGGACTGTTTTCGGATTGTTTAACAAAGAAGAAATTTAAATTTTGAACACACTACTTTGCAGCGAGATAAACAATCGTATTAAGGATATATTAATATGTAAATCTAGAAAACAATCTGAAATGGGGATTCGTCACATTGAAAGTAAGCTTTTCAGTTGTGATCATAAGAGCTCTGGGGTCGTTTGACGCTCAGACGTGACTTCTGTCTTGACTCCGAGATCGGCATCAATGTATTTGGTAGGACTGTGTTTTGAGTAGTAGTGACTAAATTAATAGTTGACGTATCTTCATAAAATCTATGATGGCAATAACTATCTCTGGAAGTAGTCTCACTGCCCAATTATCGCAAATGCACTAGAAAAGATGTGCATCTCAAAACTTAAATTTTACAGTATAATGGTTTCATTATCCTGAACGGAGCCTTTTATTTGGTGAATAAGGTAAATTGTTTTTTCTGTATAAACCGTCAGCCTTGTGAACTACCCTTACAAAAACTTCATTAGTAAAACGCTTTTTCTAAACGTCTTTCTTACTTCCTTCCCTTAACTCAAAAACGAAGATTTCTGAAAGGTGTCAATGTTCTTGTGGCTGATGATAAACAGAATTGAAAACAATAAAATAGATGAAAAATACTTTTATAATTGTGCTATGATGTACCGTTGACCCACGCGCCTGCAGGAAAGCAACTAAAGACAACGGGTGTGGCATTCGAGCAAGGGAAAGAAACTTTGATTTTGCAACAACACTTGGAAGAGTTTATTCCGAATTTGAAAATCATTTTAAAAAATCTCGAAGTTATTCTAACTAAACATTTAAGAAATCAGGCATAATAAAAGAATACTTTGTGCTGACTTCAACATAAATTGCCTCACACAATCCAGTAATGAAAATCTATTTAAAGAACTACTAAAACCATACAATCTACAAACAACCATAAATACACCAACCAGCGTATACAAAAATATTAGCACTGATTATATATATAATCGTAGGGGTCCGCGATTGTGGGTATTTCCAAAATAATTCAGCTGTGGCTGCTTTTCACCTACCCCACGTCGCTGTCCATTCTCCTCACCCTTGAGGTAATTTCAAATAAAATCACCTAAATTACCAATAAAATGAAAATATATTGTTCGTAAGTTTGATGGCTAATCAATCGGCAAACTGTTACCTGTTCCGCTTCACCGATCAACCCCAATGTATTAGTCTTCCTGTGGAACTAGTGTTTGAGCAAGATGGATGACCAATAAGAACTGAGTACTAATGTCTTACTATTTTTTATGAGTATGAGGCTGTGCAACAAATTGTTTCCGCGAACTCTCGTCACCTTAGGATTTCGATCTGCCCTCGTACTAAATACTAAGTTTTCTGTCTGGTGAAAAATATAACATAACACCCTCACCAGATTCAGGTGGAATTTGCCATCAAATGTAATAGAATGTAACCCGTTGCCAGGCTACGATTTTAATTGTAAACAATAACCTATACATTACAAGAAAATGAAATAGTTATTTATGATACAAGTGTAAAATAACATTTTTTAGACGAGTAAAGCGACTAGTAAAAGCGTTAACTTTTAAGGCATGCACAGCGTGCTAAAAACTTAATTTTTAGTTCTTAAGCTAAAAGTGATACACGAATGTTGTGATAAAACTGCCGTCAATGCAACAAAGAAAACGCAATAATTGTTTCGAACAGTGGCATCTCATGTTAATGTAACATAGTATTCAATTGTTATTTGTATACCAGAGATAAAATAAAAGCGAAATCAATCTGTCTAAAAAAATCGTGTATGACGTACGCGGCAAAAGTAATTTTATTTTGCTCGTAAGATTGTGTTGGTCACCTTATTGGCCTCGTTACGTAACATTTTCTACTGGCAAACTAAAATATAACTTTTGCCACTTGTATTTTGTAAGAACTATTCACAACTGAATAAAACAATTAGAAACAAAATGTAAACACATTTTTATGCCTAAGGAATTCACAAGCAGCACCGATGAGAATTCGGGAGGACCGTTTAACGAATCGCACTAAATGAGAGCACATGGAAAATGAAATAGTTGAAGAATACTTAAATCATTAGTGTTACAAGAAGTTAGTAAGAAGGAGATATCACTCCAATGGTGAGGGTGTGTGTGAAACGCGTCGGCAGCTAATCGGACTCGCATAGCTTTAGCGGCGACAACACGCCCTCGATGGAATAAAAATATCTAAAGGCGTTTTTGGCAAAAGACTATCAAGCTCATTTGTCAAGTCAACGCCATCTACAATTTCATATACCCACATTTTTGTTAAAGTATGAGTATTAATGACGCAACTTTTCTTGAACCTTGACCTTGCTTCCCCCTCTCTGGCATAATAAACAATTGAAGGCAAAAGCTCTCAGCGAGCATTGATGACATTCCAAACGCATCTTCACTGGCGCGAATTGGAAATTATTTTCTGCTGAAGACGAGAACTTCTGTCCGTAATCGTCTCTAACAAATCTAAGGATAATGACTGAAGGATGTGAAAATCCAACACAGGAGATACCTCGAACTCTGGAGAAAGTTAGAACGCAAATTATCGAGAAAGATGCGAAGACATGACTGATTCGCCAGAGATTGGCATTGTTGCTTCGTAAAATCTAGTGGCCGATTTCGTAACTAATATCTCCACTCTACCAGCATTTCTTCAATCGATCGTTCAAGAAAAGTTGCGCAAGTAATGCGCGCATCGTTATTGAGCGAAAAAAGCCGATATAAGCGCGTGATGTCGCTAAAGCCAAGTGTGTCCGAGCATAAAATAATAAATGGTAGATAGAAAGGTCTTTCAGATAATAAAAATAATAAAAAAATTAAACATTTAAATAACAAACTTGTAAATAAAGGTAAACACATTACCCTACTATTCAATTACCTTGAACATAAGAATTTATATTTCGATATTCAGAGTAATAAGTGCATGGCGAACACATTCACAGAAGAGTTTCATAAGATAATATTCTGTTCTCAAAACATTCGAAAAATTCTCAAGAATAAATCTTCATTGAAATTCTCAGGTACCTGCTGATACTCAAATCCTAAATCGGAGCTACTGTCAAATAATACAAGGTACTTAAGCATTTCCAAGAAAGGGGATCAACGGCCAGGTATGAAGGAAGTGAAGGGACGCTCTCTGATGAATTAGGAAAGATAGAGCCCTTTACAATTCTTTTGCAATGGGTCGATTTCTATTTCTTTGTAAATTTCCAAAATTTACCCGAACATTTGGGTGAGTAATCGGTAGTCGTCTGGTCAGCAAAATAATATTACGGTAATTCTTTTGTATAAAAAAAGAAACATTAATATTTTTATACTAAGTTTATGTAAATATAAAATTGTACGCTTTTACATATTTATTAGTAAACAATATATTTATCATAACAATAACTTATACAATTGTTAGAGAAACAAAAGTATTCAATTTGCGATGTTGTAAATAAAGCTTACATATCAATACATCAAAGGAGTGACAAGATGTTGCACTAATCTTACCCCAGTGCTCATCCATGCTACAATTGCGAAAAAAAATTCTTCATGTACACCTTGTCACTGAGAGTGAAACTAAATATTTTTGACGTTTCACTCCTGGAACGAATCTCAATTCCCTGCCGCAGTAATCTTTACTTCCAGAGGCAGATTTGTTACCAGTGATTTCTTCTCGGCGCGTCGGACTTTGCTTTCGTTACGTAGTACTTTATTTCTGAGCACAAGAAACCGTAATGAAATGCCTAATTTCTATTAGTTTCGTTTCTGTTGTCATCCTTGAATTTTGCACCAGTACACAAGACATTAATGTTACTCTAACACATCTTAATGTTTATTTTGTTATTTGTGGTAAATACGCAAAGGAAATTGTAAAGTTTTAATGAAAATAATTTATACTTTTAAAATATAAATTTTAACTGTAACCACTGTTCAATAGATAAAATTTATTATTTATTCCTTTGGGTTATGGAAGTAGTATGTAGAATTTGTCAACCAATTTCGTTATAATATTAAAGATTAAACGAAATGCGTTTAAATCTAGTTCTAAGATTTCTAAGAGTGGAATTGTGTATGTTGTTCCGAGATGAGTCAACCTGACAAGGGACTGCGAGTAAAGGAAAATCGCGACTGAAGGAAACCCTCGAAAAAATTGTAAATTTTCCTAAAATTAATGTTAGTTTCGAAATAAGAAAATTTTATCCCAGCCTATGTTACTCCCTAGACATTGAGCAATTCTGTCACTCGTCGGTCGTAAAAAGTAAAGTATTCTGAGCGCTGGGCGGATGCAAAAGAAAATACAAGGCTCACGCAAACTAAAATACCCTTCTTCACGTAATGCGTAGTTTGGTAATTAGTATTAAAACACATGAAAATATGTCTTCATTATTATTTTCGGTTTCAGAAACTATGCACTAATAATTAAGAAAACATTAAATGTTTGTGTTTTACTTGCAACGCAGTAAAATGTACAAAACTTTGGCTTAAATTGCTCTTTAACAGATGGTGTTACTTGTTTTTCTTTTCTTCGTGATCAGACCTGAAAACAACTACGTAATATTAATCCAGAAATACGTAAGCATCCACGCAGTGTTCCTAAATCGAGCTCCACAGAAATGTCAAATGAAGCTAAGAGGTGTTTCAGACTAATTTTTGAAATCGACATTTCTAAGAAAGAAGTCGCCATATGGGAGAATGGATTCGATGTTCTGTATGAAGATGAATGACCAATAGCTCTTCAATGTAACGAATCAAAGAACCAGTTCTATGTAGTCCGACAGCTTTCCAGTTTTTTCTTGCAGCTTGAAACACACCTGCAACAAATAGTCAAAAAGAAATAATTTAATGAAAGGAAATTACTAACGTTTATTGATTTTGTCCCTTGGTTTCTTAAAACATGTCATGGTTTTCATATCTTAAACTTTTATTGGTTTATTGCAACCTAACTAATAATAATTTCAACTCCTCCATTTAGATGAGATGTGGTGATTGGTGAAAACACATTCGAACAAATTGGCATCTCCAGTGAAAATAGAAATAGTATAATTTTAGTTGCCAGTTTAAAGTCAACGGGGAGGAAACTTAGAAAATAAACTCTTTTATTTTAAACATATTTTGTCTAAATAAACTCCTTGGATATTCCAAATAGTGTAATGGTTAGCGTATTGGACTGTTGTACCTAAGTTGGTGGGTACATCAACCAAATCTATTAAGTAATATCAGTTTCACAGAAAATTGTCTAAACTATTTAGTCGGTAGCGTTATTTACAAACACGTTTTACCACCAATTTTTCGATAACAAGGACCTTCGAAGAATTAATTCTGTGTTCATCACGTGTTAGAGGATTCTTTTTTCTAAATTTAGCAACTGGATTTATCCAATTTTTCGATACTAGGGTCCGGCAACAAGAGATTTTCAGCGAAAAATTCGCCTTTTTTTATCGCACCATCACATAACTTTCTCTCTACTGCGTAAGCGATAACGAGAAAGTAAAAATCCACTATATTAAACAATAAATGAAACGACTGAAATGAACAGTGAAGCAAACTTAATTTATGCAGAACCAAGTGGCTCAGTGGTGACAGCAGGAATCTTGTGGTATGTTGACTCATCATCATAATGATGATAATAAAAATAAAGATAATAAAAATAAAAATAATAAAAACAAAAATAATAACAAAAATAATATAAATAAAAATAATATAAATAAAAATAATATAAATAAAAATAATATAAATAAAAATAATAAATTTATTATTATTATTATTATTGTTATTAAGGCAGGGCCTCCCTGGCTACTGTGGGGCCACTGTGAGTCGCAGTAACGGATGACAGGAAGTATGGTCTCGAACTTGCTTCCTGAGAAATTTCGGTTAAAGCAAAATACACAACAAGAAATAATCTTAATTAATCTTAACGTGCCTTTTCTACCGATGCCTCATATTTGCTCAGAAACCGGGCTTATATTACTTAGCGACGTCTGGTCATCCCCCGGATGTTAGTTCCAGGGACCCAGAGCCGGCAGTCATCGTCTGAAATGGACCCGGAATGAATTGAAGGAGGTGATGTGATTATTTTACTATGTAAAATCGAAAAATTGGTGCTCATAAATAGAAGTTTTCCAAATGTGTAGAGAACGAAACCCCAATATGGAACCTAACTTAGACTCAAAGAAACTTGCCAGTAGTACATACTCAGTAGAAAATTCACAACAGAGTAACTTGCTGACATCCAAGGAAATGAGGAGTATATTCTCCGATCGAAATATCTACGTGACGAACATTTAGAACCATCTAATATCCCTGAAAATGCTGGTTCTGTTGAAGATTCATCTCTACCCAATGAAACGTCCGTGAGTGGTGAAAATGCATCTGTCAATGAATCACACGGCAAGGGTATGATGCGAAATCACCTTCGACGAGAGATAAACGAGCTCGTCTACTTCCATTCAAATCTCGTGCACCGTTGAGAATATACAAAAATGCTAAAGCTAAGAGAGTGATAGGGATAGCTAAATCTGTCCTTCTCGGAAATCTTCCAAGCAATCAATAGCATGGAAAACTGGAAATTCCCCGGAATTGATAAGATCCAGATTATTGTATTAAGAAATTAATAGTATTACATTCTCATCTCATAGAGGCTGCTAATAAAATTTGCAAAAGGAACTCCAGGGATACCGCTCAATATTCCAATAGTTACACACGATAGTCGTGTATCGTGGTCAGAAATGACCGGTATGCAAGTAATAATAATAATAATGATAATGATAATGATAATGATA